CATACTAGAGTTTGATCTGGTTCAGAGTTCGAGTAGGTATCAGTAATAATATTACTCGATGCATAGATAAGACATCCACCTCCTTTTTTGCAGGGTCTGTCCTGTCTGTATACTCTGCATCAAGAACTGGCGCGGAATCGCGCTCCTATCCCTGTCTACGCAAAGCAAGCAAAGTATTATGCCGCATCATCTTGGAGAGACTGAGGGATGCACCGGAGTCATAACGACGACCCGAACAGGCAGGCTTCAGGAAGTACAAATCATGTGCAGACCAAATTGCAACGCTTCGCATCATCGTAGAACAGAGTATAGAATGGCAATCAGCTCTCTGCCTCAACTTCATCGACTTTGAGAAGGCCTTTGACAGCGTCGACCGAGAAGTAATTTGGAAACTGCTTCAATACTACGGAGTACCGCAAACCTTTATCCGCCTCATTCAACAACTATATGAAGATGCCACATGCCAAGTAATTCACAATGGGAAGCTCAATGATGCCACCGAAGTGAAGACAGGAGTAAGACAAGGTTGCTACCTACAGTCACCGATGATTTTCCCGGTTGTGGTGGACTGGACCATGCGGCAAACAGTGAGGTGCGAAAGGAGGAGGATGCGCTGGGCCGCGTCAAAGAGCCTAGAAGATTTAGATTTCGCCGATGACTTGTGTCTAATTTCACAAACTTGAAGATTTACAGGCGAAAACTAACAATCTGACAGAAAAGGCGAGGCAGAGCAGCGAAGACATGACTTCAAGTGAACATAGAGAAGACACAGGTGAGGGTGATGCCTAACCAACGCCACCACTAACAACAACAAGCTCCAATCACCATCAGCCGGAGAAACTTAAATGAAGTAGCCTCTTTCACTTATCTAGGAAGCACTGTTTCAACTAGAGGTGGCACAGAGGAGGGCGCCAAAGTCAGGATCGGAAAAGCAAGAGAAGCGTTCCTTAACTTGAAATCAGTGTGGAGATCTTCTGCACTCCACTCACCATCAAGCGTGAACAACATAGGGATTTTGAACACCAACGTCAAGTCAGTGCTTCTATGTCATGGTTGGGGAACCTGATGCGTTACGAAAAGCCCTTCCAACAAACTACAGATATTCACCAACAACTGCCCCCTACGCTGGCTTGTTACTGAAGATCAGATGGCCAGAATAATAAGAATAAGCAACAAGGAACTCCGGCAACGAACCAACGAAGCAAGAACCTATCGCTCAACAAATATGCGGAAGGAAGTGGAGATGGATTGGGCATGCACTGAAAAGACCATTTGGGGACATCACGCGTCAGACCAGGCACTCGATTGGAACCCAGATGGGAAACGACGACTTGGTCGTCCGAGGTGAGGGTGACATGGAAGAGATCGTGTGAGAAAGAAATGAGAGCTTCTGGGCAGTCGTGGAGCCAGGTTCATGAGATTGTAGAGAAGAGAGTGGAATGGAGACGTGCTACTGAAGCTCTATGTTCCACTAGGAACCCAAGGGACAAATAATAATAATAATAATAATAGAGAGCGACGGAAGTAACCACCTGCCCTCTCACGAGCTGTATCAAATTGCATACAGATTGTAGGAATTATTGAAACTCAGCGTTCGTTCGGTTCAGGTGAAAATGCTTCCTGACCGCCAAAGTAGTGATCCAGAAGTGTGCCACGTTTCACCGGAGAAGAGTTACTTGTTTCCTGAAGGTGGAGTGCCTAAATGACCATTGACTTCAGATGCAGCTTTTCCCTTCATTTGCCTTCCGCTTTAACCCGGACCCGGACAACACTGATCCTATATGACTTGTTTGATTGTGGCAGTGAGTGGAATCTGGGATGAGCACTTCGTCCTATTTGTGGCTGATCGGCTGGATGTGCTTGCACCCGGCACGGGAGCCCAAATGGCATCATACCCCGGTCGTTTTTGTTTGGTATAACAGTGGAAACTTGGTATTCACAAATAACTGGTCGACGCTAATGATTCGCAATTATCAACTATCGGAATGCAAGCCAGGGTAACGTCTGTGCAGACCAAGTTTGAAAACGTTATGAAACCTCATAAACTGAGCTGATCAGATACTTTCAAAGTGGCCACGTTGTATTTAAACTGTTCCACGAACTTGATCCTTGCATACGCCAAAATCTAAATCTCGGTTACGGACTCGAGTGAATAGTGAGACGAGAACGATCTTGTTCTGTGCAGCTAACAGTGGAGGACCCCGTATACTTGACGCAGACGTTTTGTAAGGTTTTTAGCTAATATGCATGCCTCTCTTGCTATGAGCAATGGTTCTATGAACAAGAACATCACTAAGCTAATTTTCTTATGTAGTGCCGAGCTGTACAATATTTTCCTGCCGATGTGAAGACCATAATATTCCAATCCACTGGTAATAATTTTTGGAGTTTGGGAGGGCGTGATTGCATGAGTTTTAACCGAGCGCACTTCTGCTCCATTCGACTGTGTTGATGGCGTTTTATTTTACACGGTGGTGTCCGTGAATGAGAGGTATAATTTCTGATTTTCGTAGGGCACATGGCTGTGGGCCAGATGGTGAATTCAGGAGACAGCGGATCATAGTATTTTCCTGTTACACTGTCTTCTATGTCGCGTTTCGGAAGCAGGAGGTCAAAATGGAAGCTTGGCAGCGGCAGTGCCTAAAACTATACAGGGGAAGAATAGACCGTAAGTCAAACAAAATATGAGATGAAATCACCAAACCTGGCCCTCGGAAAGCGTTCAATCATTTTTCAAGCAGTCAGTCGTTTGTGATGATCATTTGATAACGACCGAAAGAATGAATTTAATCACGATCACTTTCTGCATACGCCAGGCTGACGCGTGTCACTGTCAGGTGGCAAATATTGGTTACACTGGGAAAATTCGTGTCTACTTCTCACATTAAACTGCAACTGAGAACTTGCTGCGTCAGAATGGAGCCTGAATTAACTACTGGCTCACTTCGGGCATTCCAAAATTGTCCTGAATCTGATGTTCAAACTTCCGCTACTCTAAATCTGAGGGCCAACAAGAGATTTTGGGCTCAAACACACGATAGGGAGAAACTTCTGCACATAATCTGTCGGACCTCCTTTCAGTAAATACAGGTTATCCATGGTAAGGCATATGAATCTTCTTCCGGTCTGCTTCATGCATCTAGGTCCTATGTCTGTGACCTGAGTGTCATCTAGTTGGTTGCACCAGCACCTAATGATAGTTTTGGAAATTTCGGGGAGAAATTGGTCTCTAGAAGCACCTTAGGTGCGCATGATGGGCAGCGTTAAACAGACCTTGGGGATACACAGACACTTTTAGCCATCCTGACATCACTTTGCACTTAATCGGACAAATGTCTCAGATAGTTCAAATGCATATGCTATACGAAAATTCACCCACCTAACAATATGCGCTTCCTCTGACAAACGTGTGAATACTGAAAGAGTTTCGTCCGAGAACAAAATACTGCACACTTCGTTGAGTTTCAAATTATTTGAAATCACTTTAGATTGTTGCTGCCGTAAAAATCAGAAAAAAGCCTGATCCAGTGCACAAGATGCTCTCTCGATTTGAACTGTCACCAGGTTCTAATTGAGCGTAACCTTAAACTTCCACAGCTCTTCACCGCCACCAATATATTCATTCTTTCAAGAAAATTTCGGGATTACTGCAGGAACAATCCTTGGTTGAGCACCTCTCTAATTACTCCCACTCGGGGTTTGTTACGTCATTCGAAACCAATTGTTGAAAGCCTGGAGCAGCTGAACTGTTTTTGCTGAGTTACGAAAGTTTGCTCGTGTCCATTTATCAGACTTCTGTAAGGTCTTTAACGGGGCCGATCATGACATATTATGTAAGACACTTCGAGCAATGACTGCGCAGAGGAAGTTACTCAGTTTGTTTAAGGGTGTCCTTAAAGTCTGTTGCAGTCAGTGGGAGTTGCATCCTTCCTGCGTAAATGACTTTCCATAATCGATGGGGTGCTCCAGGATTCCATTACTACTGCTCCGCTGCCCGCTGCTCTTCCAGGTAACACGCCAGCAATCCTTAATTACCAAACACTGTGCTTATGATCTGAAGTTTCTGAGGGAGATGAAAGAGCCAGCGGATATCTCTGTCTTCTGGAAGGACTTGCATAAAATGCTAAATTAGATGGTGGGAAACCTGGCTGATCTTCAGATAAATTGGTGTGGGACGTTGATGGTAGATGAAAACAGGTGGAGTTCTCGTCCTTACCCCCTAGAAGTGTAGAACAGATATATCATACTGAAACATTGGAGGCGATCTCACAGTTACGCTGTGGTGACACTCGTGACTTCCGTTTGTTGTCATCTTATGACGAATTGAGCTTATGGGGTCCTCGGGCTGGTTTTACAAACTTTGAGAGGACTGGCTCAAGGTCCATTCTTTTCAAAGACAGTGCCTTAGGAGCTTCACTTTAGGGATGGAGCATAAAGGTGCACAACTGAGAATTAGTGCTAGTTCATTTGCGGTTAGTGTTGTAAACCGTAGATCTCCCTCAAGAATAAATTGATTCAGTCACTTCTGTTAACGCTTTCAATACACCAGACGAATACAGGTCATTGTTCTTAGAGACGGGATGGATTCATAAGCTTACTGTCGTCTTATGGACATTGGGAAACAGGACTAAGACAAGACGTCTGATTTAAAATAGCTGACCGTCTGTCATTACAGGTTTCTAGGAGCTAGGACAGGAACTGTTACCATTGAAAACAAATTTCTTTTCCCATTACAAAGGCTAAGAAGTGGAAGAATCACCACTCCCTGCTTCGGAAACATCAGTTCTGACTCATGAGACTTCCCCTAGTATTACAGATAATGAGTAGTGTCCTTACAGGAAGAGGACTGTTTAATAAAATATAATAAGTTTTTTATTTTGGGCTTATCAGGGGCTGGATGCAACCTCTTATGATTCGAAACAAAGAAAGCTCACCAAGAAATCTGAGGAACAATCACCTAGTTTTTCTACAAAAGGAAGTTTGAAACTTATGTTTGAAAAAAAGCGGAAAGTATCAGTTTGGCGTTACACCAGATGGCCAAGAGGCGAGCGGATATAGAGTTGAACCAAGATAACTGGGATGACGATTTGAAGCCAATAAGTGAAGGAACATTCGAAAAAGCAAATAAAGAGCTTCTTTCGCAGAGAAAAATTATAACACCTCGTGCAAATCGGCCATCTGTAAGACTTAATTGTATTCATGTCTAATCCTTTAGAACACGGGGACTGCTGGACTTTTCAAATCATTTACAGCTTTTTCTAATTGTTCAAATACAAAAGCACCGTCATTTAACTTTGGCCCGACTCCTATAGGTGTTATGCAAAATGGGCATAAGAATGAAGAAGCTGAGTATCTTGGGCATTTGCAAGCTCTCAACCAAAATTTGCTTGATTGGATTTCAAAGCATATAAAAGAAGATCCATTCTGTATTCTTAGTCCAATATTCTCCGACTATGACAAACACCTGTCTGAAATAAGCTCTAAGTTTCCTAAACAGTCATCAGGTGATATCTCAGTAGATGAAAAAAAGGATTCGAGTTGCTTTCCTGTTATCAACACAACAGAAGTTAGTAAACCTCTAGCTAGCAGCACTACAAGCTCAGTCTTTACCTTCGGCAATGCTGTATCAAAATCTTCAGCGACGTCTGGCACTGCGACTGATTCTGCGGCTAGCAAGTCTTTATTCTCGTTTGGTTTGCCACCCATTACGACTGCTAATATGCAGTTTCCACAATCACTCTTCCAGTTCTCAAACATTCCTAATTTTATGCGAAATCCTGTAGAAGGTGATTGTAAGTTGAATACTTCTACGACAACCATCCAACAGACTGATGAAGATGGTAATTTCTAGTTTCTACTAAACTTACTCATAGATAATGAAGAGTATATTCCTCCAAAACCAGAAGTCAAAGAAATAAAAGAAGATGGTGCAGTATTTTCAACAAGGTTTGTGCTGTATTCCCGTTCGGCGCACGCATATATATAAGAAAATCAGATAGACCTTATGTGTTACAACATAATAAGTGGGCGAGTTTCATGTACTCATTGTGTCAAGTAGTACCATTTTCTTGATTAACAAGACTTACTGGTCGGGATCGTCGAAACAAACTCCCCAGGTCGACATTTATCTACATGGGCTGAGTCAATGGCCAAAAGCATGAATTGATATTGTCTTGGTCTGCCAACTTAACCTTTTTTCAGTCTAATTCAGTCAACGTTTTTTACTGGGGAAGTCTTTTTAAACACAGAATAATAATTAGTAGTGAAGGAGAGAGAGAGGAGGTACAAAAGGTAGTCAAATTAATAATAGCTGTTCATGTTTATCGGGACTGCTGAGGCGAAAGTTTGATGTGGTGATCCAGCATTAGAGCATTTTGGAGAAACGTTTAGTTGAACATCACCACCCAGTGTAAGGCTTAGACAAAAGTCGACACCTAACCTCTAATTCCTGCTAGGGTCAAGATTATGCTAGGCTTTACGTACTGGTAGACAAGAAAATATGATGGACGTTCGAAATGTATCGTTGTGATTCATTACGCAAGAGACTCAATCTTTAACTAGTCATTCGATGACTAAAATTCCACTGCAACTACTCAAGTTTATGGTACCAAGTAGCATATCAGCCGTCATGTAACCGATATGGTTCATTGGTTGGTGTTTGTAAGGTATTATTAAATGTTTGCGAGGATTTTGGTCCAAATTGGTTAATTTGGCTAAGAGATATTTGGAATGTGGCGGTATACTATTTTTAGGGTTATAAGTACCTTTCCTATACGAATCTAGGTGACACCGACCTTCAGAAAGCGAAATGCATTTTGAGCTCATATGTCAAACAGACCTGTCTATCACACAGACAGATGTGTCTACTAACACGTTGAGTCAAACTCGGTATTGGGTTTCGTTCAAGGGAGATTTTTATGATTGTATCACTTACTGAGTTGCCTGTCAGGTATACTGCGCTGTTGTTTCACTGCTCTTAACCTTTTTTCCCATAAGTTAAACTTCATTGTTTCTAAAGATTGCCTTTTCATAGGTATAGGTCTGAAGTATAATCTCTCAGTTCATGTTGAGCTTAATTGTTTGCCTGCAGACAATGCGTTTTCGTCCGGTTTCTCAGCGTTTATTCTATTTTTTTTAAGGATCATTTTGCCAACCCATATGGTACAACAAAATACAGACTTTTCGAACATTCAGTAACGTTTTACGGATGTTTAAAATGCACTTGCCTTTCCGATCCTCAACGTCACTTAACAATCGGTCTGTTTAAGTACCCATTTTAATAGTTGAGAATAAAGCTACTGAGCATTGAGATCATCAAAAATATAGAAGTTACATTTTGATAGCCTGCATTTCTCATGTTTCAGATATTTTGCGAAATCATTAGGTAATATTGTGTTTAGACATTGAGTACTCAGAAGTATTACTAAGTCAGGTAGTGTGGTAACAGTTGTTCATTAACTGTGACTGAGACATCTCATGCATGTCAAATTGTACACCTCATAGCACCATTGTAGGTTAAACAGCAGTAGGTATGAGTAGAATTTGTATAATGTGGTAGAGTACAATTATATTTTAGTTCATAGTTGGCAATATAACACAGCGATTAATTCACTAAAATGGAATGAGTAGGAGTGAGATGAAAAAGCCAGGATAATATGACCAAAATACGTTGCTGACATTATGAAGTCACTGACCGTTCGTGTAAGCAGCAGAAACAGCGATGAGATTTCTGGTGAGCATATGTGAACAACGTGAATTGTATGTAGGCGACTGAAAGAGCTATGGTTGGAGATACATTGTGACAGTACATGGAGGTCCATTTTTTATTTCATTGTAAAGGATATCATATACACCTTACTTGTTGTTACAACTATCATGTTTTCTCATTCTTTGCCCTCATCAGTGTTGTATTCCTCACTAGTTTTGTTCCTCTTACTTTGATTTCATTTTATACTGATGTGTCTAAACTTGGATCTGTGCACTACAGTACTAGATCCTGTTGTATATTTCCATTTTCCAGAAAGACTGACGTGACTTGTTAAAAGACCAGTACATTTCAAGTCTGTTAATTATTGAATCTTACTGTTTTTCATGATGCTACGGATTGCAACAAACTAGCGAAGAAAGATGCCGACTTCCTGTAAAGTTATGGGCATACGGACGACTATTAGCAATAGATATATTTAGGGTGATAATTGCTATTTAAAATTCCCTACGTGAAGTTGTGAGCATGCGGTTATTCGGCTCCCCCAATGTTCAACATTCACATGGATGATATTCTAGTGGTGTTGAGGTGTTGTATAGTGTTTTTTTGACTGAAGGAGGGTTTTATCATCTTGAGTACGTGGACGATACTGTCCTGTTTAGTAAAGTATATTTAATCGTTTCGCCTTCAATTTCCCTATGTATGGTGCATGTTATTTACCACTTAAGCGTAAAATAGTTTACAAGATTAATAGCAGTTTTTACATGCATTCATTTTCAGTGATAAGAGATCCTGACAGCCAGACAGACACAACGTAGAACCTCACACACAAGTTCATTGGTTCAAGTTTCCACACTTCACAGTAGTACGCAAAAAAATAGGTGGATAGAAAAAGATTGATATCAAAGTAGACAAAGTTGTGTGAAAGAATAAGCAATCTGAAGGTTACTGCGAATGCCTAATGTTCAGAAGACATCGAATAGTGATATTATATCTGTGCCACTGCGACCGATTTTTAGCCATATCACTGAGAGTTCTAAACCACTGATTCTTATCGTCTAGTGAGAGATCATTTCAATTCAATGCCATCGGATATAGCTCGGAATTGAAACTGAGGGCGATCATAGTACAGCTTTGTTTTTTCGGTTACTAAAAAATAAAAAAGATAATGAAACCTTAAACTGTATCATTGAGACTGCTTGTTTTACAACTCATTTCTAATTCTGCTTCTGTACTGTTTGTTCCTTCTTTCTTTCCATATGACTTATGTCTGAATTTTGTTTAATTTTGTATAACGCACTTCTCGGTACCCACGTTGTACCAATTTTTCAAGTCAATAAATATTCAAGCTAAGAATAGTTCAAGTATATGAAGTTCCTGTTAAAGTGCTGCAAACGATATCACGTTTCATATGATGTAGAGCCTTGCAAAGATTGATTCTTTTATGCTTTATGAGTTAACTTCGAACTTGTGTGTCTTGAAAACTAACCAACAACACTCACAATCCCGCGGTTTTGATACCTGATTTTAGTTCTTAACTTTTAACGCAAACCGTGACAAGTGCGTGTGATAACAGTTCCAAAGCTAGTAAAAAAGTACTCCCTTCTTACCTCTTAAAAAGCTTAAAGCCCCAGCTAATTGAGGAGTATATTATTGATAACAAGAGCGACAAGTTTTAAAGCCCCTGTGCATCAAGAAAGTTTCCAAGCCACCTGCTGACTTTTGGATCATTATTTTAAGGTTGATGGAATTCTGTAGTGTTACCTATGAAGGGTACACAAATGGTAAGCTGAATAAACAAAAATCCATAAATATTCCAGTTTTCTAAGATGAAGCAAATACAAGCAAATCACTGATAGTCTGCTATCATTAATTCGTATTATCGTAAAGATGAAAGTCATGTCGTAAAAGTATGCTCAAAAAATCAAACCAAGTGCTATGCAGAACACACCTATTATAGTCTTCATTTTGACTTTTTCATTTCCTGGTAATATTCATTCTTGATTTCAAATGATAATGATTCCTTTGGATCTGTGGCTCATTGGTTTAGGGACTTGATTTCCAACCAGTAGGTGAAGGCTTTGAATCGAGTTCTATCTACTAAGATTAAGACAACCAGACAGTATTATTAACCCTCGCATAATAGGTTTGGTTCATTGCCTACTGCACGAATGTACACAAGGTTGCTGAGTGGATTTCGATTTCTATGACTTATTCTCTTAAGGCAGTAATCAATTATATAGTATGAATCGATGGTATTCATTTAAAGTTAACCGTTTACATACTCGTCATTTCTTTTCATTTTCAAATCCATATTTGTGTACACTAACAGGTGTAAATTATTCTACAAGGTGGATACTGAATGGCGAGAACGTGGTCTTGGAAATCTATTCATCAAACCAACAGCTAATGATAAATTCCAACTGTTAATTCGAGCAGATACTAATCTTGGTAAGATTTTTGTCGAGTTTATATGGTGCAGAGTTTCAGTTTCTACACTATTGCACTACAGTATTCATGTTATATCATCTTAATCCAATACTGCCCTGACTCACCTGATATATCTTGTTTGCTTTGTTGTGATATCTTAGGCTTTTGTCTAGTTATTTTATTAATTTTCACATTATCGTAGCGGATGACTGATGTTCACTTCCGTAGCTTTTTGTTTCCAGGCTTCCTATTGCTCACTTTCCATAGGTTGGACATCTGACTGAAGAAAAATTTGATGAGTTTATTATGTTGTAAATTTCAGGATGAATATAATCCCTTTGAGAACAAGCAAACATATCATTCTAGATTTGCCTTTAACTTCACAAGTATTTAAATATACTTCAGCAAAAAATTAGGTCACCTGCAAAACTACTAGATCAGGGTGTGATAATACTGTGTGTCTGCTGCTATTTTCTTTAACAACCGCTTGATACTAGTGAATAATAATTTTCAAACAGAAATGGCATGTCTTTACAAGTTAGTATTCATCATGGACTGACATCAGTTGGAGGGACATTGGAAGCCTGGGAGGACTGGACAGTTTCGTTCTAGTACGGGACACATGACCCCGCCCCACCTCACCAGGGGCTGTACCCAGGACCTTCAGATTCCGTGGGCACCACGTTACCATTGGGTCACTGGGTCAGAACCCAGTGGTCTACATTTTCGACTTCTATCGGTTCACGGCATAGCGGGACCATCACCCAATGTCGTCGTTGAGAATTTGTCCTCATGGCCACCAGCTTTATCCCATCGGTCACGACTTCTCGTTGGAACTTCAGGAATCACCTCTCGAAGCTAGTCACCAATATCGTGAACTGACAGAAGTTGCAAATGCGAACCATTGGATTCTGACCCAGTGGCTCAATGGTAACGTGTTGCCCACGAAACCTGATGGGACGGGGTCATGGATGGGCAGTGCTAAGGAGTCCCATACTAGGACGAAACGGGTATCCAGTGCTCCCAGGTTTCCAATGGTCCTCCAACTGATGTCAGTCCGTGATGAATATCAACTTGAAAAAAATCACTAAATCCCCTCAAACCCTCAAAGGAAATGGCAGGTGACAAGATGTCCTTTGACCTTAAGTCTGCATTGTGTACAGACAGATAAACGCAGGACCTGGCACAAAGTGCATTAGTTCTAGCTCCCACACCTCACCAAAAAGGCGATGAAAAGTTAAATGATATTAAAACAAGCAAAGGTTTTTGAAAGAAGTGAGGATGAAAAGATAAAGGATGATCAAAATATTCAAGACTTCACACATGGAAATTGCCACTTTTGAGCAACATCACAAAAATTCTCTACTCATTGATTCTTATCTCGTGAACCCCAACCAGGCAGCTTGCACCTTCATATATAGCTCGGACCAACAGTCAAGGATTTCAAAGACTTCTGCCACGTATTATTCTCTCCATCGCTGGCTTCCTTCCAACTTAGTTTCACTTCTGCTGACATCATAGGTTGAGGTGATGGCTTGGCATGCGCAAAATATCAAAACCACTTCAGTCATCGATTGACTTGACCTCCTTACCCATCGCTCAAATGATAATTCCACCACACGTGAGGAATGACATGGAGACAACTACGGTTGAAATCCCGTAATCCCTTCATATCTACTTTCCAGGGCTGTCTCAGTTTTACGTTAGTGCAGAGTGAGTACAGAGTGTTAAAGTTTGGATCGTTTTCAGTCATACTTTCTTTTCTCACCATTAGTGGCACCCAGGTCGTGCGAAATTCCAAATTTTCGTAACAAGCAGTCAACGTGTTTGATTCGTCTTCGCGATGCCCTGTTACGCTATATAAATGTCTATTTTACCGTAAATTCTCATGCTTATAGCTTCGGGTACCAGAAGAACCCATTCTGACGATGTCAAGAATCCGTAAGTTTCCACATAATCATGCAATCCAGGTGAATATCCATTCAAGTGTTATCATTCACAGCAATATAGATTTACGCCGTCGGAATTAGATATTGTGATGTAAAGGAATAAATATTTGAAAAAAACCGCGGACCAGTGGCTATGGGTTTTTCATACTGTTCATGTTACGGTACACAGCACTGTCAGGGACGTATATTCACTGTTAGATGACGTACTAGAGAAGTCTGTTGCATGGCATCATTGTGAATATGTTCACTCTTAAGTTAGTAGGCGGTTTGATCTCCTGGATTTCTCTGTCTGTCCAGATCTTCGATGTCATCATGACCATCCAGAAATTTGAGCAACTCGAGGATTGATATGTGTTCATATGGTGAGAGGGTCAAATGGGTGAATGGGATTGATAGTTCTTGTTTATTGGACAGTAGTTTTCGTGGGGGCATAGTTTCATTGTTTCGAAGAGAAGTGGAATGTTGAGGGTTGGTAACGTATATTCCTCATCTGCGTCCTGTTGTCACCATCGAATGTTATCATGATGATGTGGATATTCGAGGATCCGAGTTAAGCCCTTCGATCGTTTAGCGTTCACATTTCCAGATAATACGGTAAGTTTTCACCATAGTCCAGTTTCTTCATGGTCTAATGATATCTTTATGTTGTAACCATCTGAAATTTTGGCAGAAAAACGACTAAAGCAGGTGTAGCCTCTGCACCTTTGAGGTTGGAAATTGTTTACGTATTGAGAGTTTCCAACATGTCTTTAGTTCTGGTAGCAGTGTTGGTGGTGCTTTTTATGATGCTGTACTGTAGTGTAGAGTTAAGCTGTCTTATAAACCTAGTCGAAGTGTTTGATCCTCGTACTTCCCTAGGTAAGCTGTTCCATATCTGAGCATATTTTATCACAAAGAAGTTCTCCCTAGTGACTGTTCTGAAATACTCAACTGCTACTGTTACATTTCTTAACCCATGTGCAGTTTTGTTTATGAACTACACGTCTGTGCACGTGCTATAAGTTAACCTGTTAAGCAGCTTATGAAACAATATCAGATTCAGTCTGAGCCTTCGTTTCCATAGTGGTTCAAATCCTAGTATATTGCACCTGGCGGCATATTTTACGTATTCTCATTGTAAAGTATCTCTGTACTTCAACTTCCAGTCTATCCGTAACCCTTATACTGCTGTATATAAATAAACAATGTTCGAGCAGTGGTCGGACACATGTTTTATACAGGATAACTCTAGATTCGGTACCGTAGAAGCTCCGTAATAAGAAACACTCCAGTTTGCGTGATTTCTACACATGTTTGGATACGTGCTAAGAGAAGGTTAGGTTGTGAGAATATCGGAGCCCTAACTCCCGTACAGACTTCAGTTTTGGGGGTGAATGCCCGGTCATCATTAAGTTTACTTCGAGTCCATAGTCACCTATGCTAGCCAGCCGTATTTTTCTGTGTTAAATTCTAATCGCCGGGTGTTGCATCATTTGCTAACGTATCTTAGTGACTCTTGCATAGTGCTAATGTTCGGGGTTTAGTCACTGCTAAGGCATGTGTATACTACCTTCAGGTCATCCACAAATAAGAATGGCTTACCTACCTTGAAACACTTACATATGCTACTGATGTATGTTATGAAGAGAGGTGGACCCAAGACGCTGCCCTGGACAACTCCACTGGTCGCTGGTTTAGGCTTTGAGATAGTTGAACCGACCTTTGTTACTTGGTGACGATTGCGCAGAAAGGATTTTAATCAGCCTAAAAGTGGATTACGGATCCCAAGGGATCTTAGCCTATTGATAAGCAAGCTGTGTGGGACTCTGTCCAAGGCTTTAGTGATGTCGAAGTAAAGTGTTATCACCATCTTTCTCTGATCCCCTTTGCTGGTGATCTCGTTAAAAAGTCAAACAGGTTTGTAGTGCGGATCTTCTTTTCAGAAAACCATATTGCGACGGGTTAATATGGTTAGATTCCAGCAGGTAATCAAACATTTGCTTTTTTTCACCTTTTCCATAATCCCTGAGATGGCCGGGCTTATGTTAATTGGTCTGTAATTGCTAAGGCTGGCTCCGGACTTTTATTTTGGCAGTACATAAGTAGTTTTCCACTTCTCAGGATAAATTTCTGAAGCTAATGAGAAGGTAAATATTTCGGTAATAAAACTGCCACATACATGCCAGCCTTTCTATAAGTTATTGACGATATCTGGTCTGTCCCGCAGCCAACATTTACTTTCAGGGTTTCAATCGCATCGTTAGTGTTACTCGCGCTGAATTCTATGCTGCCCATCGTACTACTACTCTCACTGGTTATCTGTATGTCTGGAGCTAGAAGTATGTTATTACTATTAAGAAACCACTCACTGGGTTGTTCACAAATCGCCTGTAGATCACAGTAACCTATACCTTTATGTTGTAGAAGATTTATTAAAAAGTCTTTTGTATTTTTTCACTTTCGCAGGATGCTGCAGAGGTTTTGTGTTTTGGACAAACTGTCAAATGCCCTACGCCCTCCAGCCAGTGTTTCTTTCGGTGTCCTTCTTAGAGTGAAAGGAATGTTGTATGTATCTGATTCGGCACACGAATTTTTTTCAAAGCAAAGTACTTTTTCTTAGTCTTCTTAGTTTGTGCCAAGTTTTCCTATCTATAATAATAATATGTATTTCATACAACACGGGTTACATGAATACAAACCAGCCTACGGGTCTGATCATTTTGGTAATGAGAAATGACTACTGCGTACAATGTTAAGCTATATATTAGATACTGTTATTCATGGCACATAAGAGGTGTGTTGAAGCAGGCTCATTTCGAATTAAGGGATTATTCGGTTATTGATTGAATCTTCTAATATTCTTGAAGGTGGGGCCGCATCACAGCCATGACCTTGAGGCGTGCGCGTTCGTCATAAGGTTTTGATGGCAAAATTCCCACCGACAAACGCGATTTCTAGGGTTCCATTTGAATGCAGGACTGGTTAGGTAAACCTGAAAAGTGAATAACAAAAGCGAGCAGCAGGCGAAATTCGAAACAGGAGCACAGAAATACGCAGGAGTAGATCAACCAGGGTACATCTGGGTGACTTCTTTGTACTGACTGCAAAACGTACTTGAAGAAGTATCCAGAACCAACTGTTTAGAGGTGAGCTTAGGCGGAAGAACATGGAGGTGC